CTCCTTTGTTAAATAGCCCCTGGGTGGAGAAGACCCAACAAAAAGGAAAGGAAGAGGGGGGCTGAGGATCTGAAAGTGTCTGGGGTGACATAAAGGGTTCCTAACACTGAAATCTTGTAATACCTCGTTTCAAACTGAGCTCATCTATTGACCCGGAAGCGCGGTCAAAAGACTGGGAACCTTTTCCCCTGGGGCTAGAGTTGGTTTTGAGCTGAAAGGACCTGGGGAAGCAGGTAGGGTATTAATTAGTGAAATGGGGAGGAGGAGGGCAGAGGTAGGGAAGAACAGACCGCTGAAAACTCACTAGATAGACTCTGATGCCCGGAGTGTCTTCGGTGTAGATTTGGGAAATAAAAGGCGCTAATGAAAAAGTCTAGAAGTGGAAATTACCTTTTGTCCCAATGTTAATCACTCCTTGCCTCCACCACTCAACACCTAACCACCTGGTAGCTCGTTTTGGTTCTCCACCAACTCGGCGCTCAGTGTCAGTGTCCGAGTGCTCTGGAGTGGACTTGGCTCGGCTGGGGTCGCTTTGGAAAGTGCAGAAGAGGGTGTAGGGAAAGTTCTCCGTGCGGCGGGGAACCCTCTGCTTGTTTCACTTTGAAATAAAAGGCAGCCAGCGTTCCGTGAGGGCTGCGGCGGGTTCGTGCAGAGTTTAGGGACGGCGGAATGGAGGAGGGAGGGGGGGAGTGGGTTGGGAGACTGGGTCAAAGGTGGACGGCAAGGGGTCCGCAGAGACCCGTGAGCACCAGCTGCTTTTCCTGGCGCGAGGGACCGAAAAGGAGGGCGCAGGGGGCCGTGGCGCAAAGACGCAGCCAAGCCGAGCTGCGCGGATCGCGGCCGCGCCCCGGAGCAGCCCTCGGGCTGAGCTCGGGCTCGCCCGCCTCGCCGCGCCCCTGCCTGCGGCGCCGCGCACAGCGCCTGGCGGCCCACCCCGCACAGACCTGCGGGCGCTGCTCCCCAGCAGCCCTCGGCGCGCGGGCGCGCTCCGAGGCCAAGCCCTGGAGGAAACTCTTGACTCTGCACTAGTCCCTCTCTGCCCCTTCCCCTTAGCCCATTAACCCCCGACCCTCACCCCCAGCCTCTCTTCTTAGGAAAGAGGTGAAAGAAGATGATGGGGGAAGAGAGAGAGATGATTAAAAACAACACACACACACACACACACACACACACACACGTTAGAAAGGGAATACTCTGTAGCAGAAGGGATTACAAAAGTGGGCACCCCACTCACAAAATCCTCTTTTCTTTTGTTTTCTTACTTAGAATTCAATAACTGCTTTCCTCAACCCGAGAAACACACACACGTACACACACACACACACACATAGACACACACACACACACACAAATTCTATTTTCCAAGGAAAGATGGGAGATCTAGAGAAGAAATAGCCACCAAATTTTTAAAATGATTTTCCTGATTTGACGTTTGTTGTTTTGACATTAATGACATTAATATTATTGATGATGCTTCAGGGAGAAGAAGGCAAAGAAATAACTTGAAAACGAAATGATCATCATTTCCCTATTCTTCCGTGGCAGAAATAGACCCCTTTCTTCACCTGAGTCTGAAACAGACTTATTGTTCTCAGGTGTTTCCTTCATCATACACATTTACCCGTCTGCAATCACAGGAAATGGTTTTTCCATCAGTGAGCTTGTACACTGAGCCCTCTCCAGCAAAGGGCTTGATCTTTTCTGATTTGAACCTGAAAGTTTCCCTGCCTTCATTTCCCCTCAGTCTCTTTAAAAGCCCCCAGCCCCCTTCCCTATGCACACACCTCAAATAGTTTTTTTTTTTAAAGCCAGAATGTTTGCTCTCTGGGGTGTTTTTCAGTAAACAGTAACGCTACATAAACACCTTTTTCACTTGCAAGTTACAGAGAATTTAAATTTTACCCCTGTGTACATGTATGTTTTTTAAGGCACATGGATAAACCCCACTGAGGTGCAATCAGATACTGCTAGCAAATTGGTGACACAGTTGCTCTATAAAGGTGGAGCTGTAAACCAAGTAACTTTAAAAATTTTTGAAAACCTTCCACTTTGAGGAAATTTTTTCCCAAAGAAGTTTGAAATGGAATGGAGTCTTTGGAGAGGTAGATAATTTTCTTTCTGTTAATGTTTAGTAGCCCTGGTTTCTGAAACACTGCTACATACACCAACTCCAGATTCCTAAGGTGGTGATTTGCTTTTTTCTCTTAATAAAGACCATATCTACGTTTTATTCTATGTTCCAAGCCTCTGGACTTTCATTGTAACCTTAGCCAGTTGCTGAAGGCAACCAGTTCTCCTGATCTGGGCCTAGGTCTGCTCTTTTGAGGACTATGCTTTTATCCTCCAGGTGTTTTGATTGGTTTTTAATCCATTTTCATCAGTCCTAGGTTTTTTTAAATGTCCACTGATAAATCAAGATTTTTAGGCCCAGAAAAATACATGTTTGCAGTCTCTGTAGTTCCAAGTATTTGTGCCATAAACCGTTCTGTTGGTATTTGGTAGATTTGTCACTTAAGGCCTAAGACAAGGTTTTGAAGCAGATCCTGGCAATCCAGAATTTCAAAGGCCTGTCAACTCAAAAGGAGCTGATGCCTCACCTGTCCAGGAAGCTGGACATTGCAAGTATTTCCTGTTTTCAGCTCATTTGATTTGTTACTCTTTCCTTCTTTCTACAATTCTTATTTTTGAAATATTACATAAATGGTGCCTACTTGTGACCTCTGGTGTAGTGAATGGTGTATCAAGACACTGAGTAGCAAAACATACACCTATATATACACACATACACGCATACACACACACACCATATACAGTAGGGGGTATTTAAAAGTACGCCTATTCCGAGTTTTAGTTAATTATCTTTTAATGAAAGTGTCACTCATATTCACATCTGTAATATTGGAAAGAGATAATTAGATTTTCAAATGAGAATCAGCCACCTTAAATTTTGCACCAGAAAATACCAAGTATATTTCATTCTAATGAGATCTGTAGTGGGGTTTTAAAATTCATCATAATGTGCTTCAAGAAAGATAACTCAACAGACTCGAAAGATGAAAGGTTTTTTTTCCCTAAGTCTTCTTAAAGCTATTACATTGAACTTATGCAATTCTGATAAAATATTCAAGAATATTACATAAAGGCTAGAACTGTACCCCTAGTATCACCCTTGCAACCATCACTTATTCTCATTTGGAAGTTTACTTTGACTAAACTAACCACTTCCATCTCCCTTGCCCTGGGTTTTCTCTCCTGCGTATGAAAGCGAAGAGACGTGTTTAAATAGAATGCCTGCGGATCCAGAGTGCAATTCTTCCTTTGAAATAGACTGGGCTGAGCGGTGTTTGCACACAGCCAGGCACCCTTTATTTACATACATCTGCATATTTGCTTAGGCCCCTGCATTTCGCCATTAAAGTGCGTTCATGTGCGTAGTTGAATAAACTAGGCAGAGAAAAGCTCTTCATTACCCTAACTCATATTTCTGCTTAAAGCTCCCTAGTAAACAAATCTGTGGTCGGATAGTAATTACTTTGCCTTATTAAAATTAAAAAAAAAAAATCTCAAATGGTTAAAGGGTATTGCTTAGGCAGTATTTGTTTTATATTCCTCTCTCCTTGGTGTGGTGGTGGTGGTGGTGGTGGTGGTGGTGTGTGTGTAATGAAGTTTGGGAGTTGCGCGTAGGGGCGCGTGGGGTGCGAGCCCCGGAGGTCCCCATCCCTTGCCCTTTCCACGGTCGCCTTGTCCCGGGCTCCAGCCGCAGCGCTCAGAGCCTTGGAAGTCGCGAGGCTCCGGGGCTGCTCTGAGTCCCGGCTGCGCGTCATTTGCAGTCTGGGGAATGTTGATCACCTCACTAATTACACCTCTCTCTCCCCCCTCTCCCTCTCCCTCTCCCTCGCTCTCCTCTCTCATTCCCAGAGTGCATATCGGGAATAGACACACAAAGACATGCGCACTCAACTTAATCAGCCATTTTTTTAAACAGGGCTAAAACGATAATAATTAGCAGAATAAAGACATATCGGATTTTCATTTCCTTTCCTCCTTTTCCCAACCCCTTCACAACCAAACAGCGAGACCGCGGTCGGCACATGCTTTAACTCCTCCCGGACCCCCGAGGACCGCTCCATGCCCCCCACTTTCTGCTCCAGCGTTTTTATTTTCACCCAATAAAGTTCGAGGATTATTTTTTTATTTTATTTTTATTTTTTTTAATGAACCCTCTCGTTTTACTTGGATGTGATCAGCTGTAAGTAAAATAAAAGCAAAACAAAAAAGAGGCGAAGATCGAGTAGGAACTGCAGGGGAAATGGAAAGTAAGTTTTTTCTTTAACTTTTATTGAGTAGTTTGTGTTAAATTTAGGTCGAGTATCGATTATCTTTCCAGCCTGATCTTGCACAATCTTTGATATTTCGCTCCCTCTCTCTCCCTCTCCCTCTCCGCCTCTCTCCCTCTCTGCCCCTAGCTCGCTTGCTCTTGCTTGCTCTCGCACACATCCCCTCATCCCGACCATCTCTTCCGCTCTGCCCCCCTTTTCTATCCCTTTTCCCCCTTTACTTGGCTCAAGGATTTTCTCTGCCGAGGGAGGGAAGGGGCACTAAGGGACCTGATTTTCCACTTTTTTTTTTGGGGGGGGGATGATTTTTCGGGATTTAACTTTTGGATTAAGTGGCAGATTATCCACGTTTGGCCGAGCAGTTTTCTCTCCTTTTTCCTGTCTTTTCGCTATCTGCCTTCACCGTGAGCTTGGGGCATTCTGGTGGCTTGGGGAAGCTGTCAGCTCCACAACCGCGCGGGTACTGCCCGGGATCCCCGCTTGCCCCATGCCCCTTCACCTCAATCGGAATGACTCTTCCTCTACTCCCATCCTCCGAAAGTTTGGATGTTGGTTGGTGGGGATTGAAGCCTCTCTTTCCCCCTTCTCTCTCTAATTTACCCTCTCCCGTTCCTTATTCAGCCTCTTTTTTTTCTTCCTTCTTTTACCCGCCCACCCCCCCTCTTCTCAAGTTGCCCGAAAGGCGCTTAATGCTCGGGGCTGACGGAGGCCCTGGGATTCGTCTGCACTGGACAGAGGGTTCCAAGGAGCTGGGGTAGGCGCTAGGGCTAGGGCAGAGGCTGCAGGTAGACACCCGCCCGCTGGAGCAGGAGGCGGCTGGCTCCGCGGAGGGTTGCTCTAGGCTGTGCGGACGCCTGCAAACGGAAGGCAGGTCCGTTAGGAGGCGGGATCGCCCGGCCTCGGGGCTGGGGGCCCGGCAAGCTGCGGCAGCTCGCTAGGGGCGAGTTCGTCGCTGGGCGTGCGTTAGACCAAAGGGTAGACGCTCGCGGTTTGGGATTAAGAATCTTTTCCTTTCTTTTTTTTGGCAAAGGGCAAGGGGTGCATGTGCGAGAAAGAGAGCGCGCGAGTGTGTGTGTGTGTGTGTGTGTGTGTGTGTGTGTGTGTATTAAGGGGCTGTGAGAACTGATTCATTCCCTGGGCTCCCCCGCCCCCCCCCCAAAGGGTTCCATGTCTACAAATGAACTTCACCTCCTTCGCTTCTGCCGGCATCAAGCGCGCCTTCCGGCTGCAGCAGCTAAAAGAAGAGGGGCTGGAATGCGCCGAGTCTCGCCTTTTTCTACTTCTACACCCCCACCCTATTCTTTCTGCTTTTTTTCTGTCGGAAAAAAAATAATAAAATTTCTCATGGAATTGTATAAAGTTTCTCTGCCGATGACCAAGTTACAGAAGGTTTCCCATCCTGTCCCCCTTCCCCCAGAAGACGGTGTACTGGTTTGTATTTCTTTTGTTACCTGCGATCCGGGCGGGGGGCTCCGTTCGGCCGCTTGGGTTGGGGTCCGGCCCAGAAAGAAGGCTCCAGCGAGCGCCTTTGGCCGGGACTCCTCACTTCCGCGCGGTTCTGGTGAGGTTTTAGCTACGTTCCGTGAGACACCCTCCTTGTAGGTACCAAAGGTTCAGATCGCAAACACGGACCCCCCCCCACCCCGACCCCTACACACACACGGACACACTCACACTCAACACACGCTCACAGACACACACACACACATTCTCCCCTCTCCCCCCTACACCTCCGCCCCCACCTTGCCTTTCCCCTCCCCCCTTCCAAAAAAAAAACACACACACAACAACAACCCCCCCCCCCAATCAAAACCAAACAAAAACCCAAAGACAAGTTCAGTGGCTGAAGATGGTGGATTGACACTGACTCAGACAGAGGCAGGTTCACCAGGAAATCTGGCCGTCCCGATTTCTGACAGTTGCATTTCCTCTCCTTGAGTCCTCCCCCCCCCCTTTTTTATTAACTCTGTTCCATGTTTAATCAAGGATCATGTAGATGGCAAAAGGAGAGACAGAGAGAGGAGAGAGGAAGAGAGAGAGGGAGAGGAGAGAGAGAGACAAGAGACAGGAGGGTTTTTTTTTTTTTTTATTGTGTTCTCCTGGATTTTCAGTGGCTTGATCCCTATAAACGTGGAGTGGTTAAAGCTCATATGTAGTATTATATTTTTAGTTGGGTGGATGGATGGAACAGTGAGGGAGAGGCTGCGGCTGCCGCTGCCTTTTCGGGTGTTGCTTAGATTAAAGCTGAGACTTGGCTGCGATTGGGACGCGACAGTGACACGGGCATCGATCGCTTCCATTGAGAGCAATGCAAAAACACAGCCCGGGTATGTAACACTCTCGGTGCCATCAACACTTGTTTTACTTTATATTTACTGGCAAAACTGACAGAGCAAGCTCAGACTTTTGTTTCTTTCTTTCTTTTTGCTCTTTCCTCTTTTCTAACTGAAGAATAAAAACAATTGTATATAGAAATTGTTGGAAAGGATGGGTCTAAATAAAACAGGAGATATTCGGGATTATTTCACTACCTCTTTGACTGTGTTTTAGAGTTTTCTTCTCCACTGAGAAGCATATTAAAAAGAATGAAGGTTTTCTTTTTTCCTTCCTCATCCTTAAAAAAAAAAAATCCTTAAGGGAATATTTGATAGTTTTCAAGGTTTGAGGTTTCAATCAGCAGGAAGGCACACAAAAATAAAAGATGGCTAGCCAGCTGTTTTAACCTTTTGCACCTGGCTTGGGATCATAAGGTTTATACAGTTATTTTTAAATGTTTTTAATATTTATGGCATAAACTGGGGAGAACATCACTGTGTGTTTATTTAATAGCTGGCTGCTTTTGTATTAAAAATAGTTAACTCATATTCAAGTGTTTTCATTTTTTATAGCAATGAAGATAGGGTCAATGAAATATGGGGGAAATACCATAAATCTGAAAAGTGAAATGTACCCAAGGAACAAAGAAAGGTCAGGTAAACCAGCTGTGTAAGTCAAAGCAATAGCACCAACTGTGGGGTTAGATAGAGATAGGGAGCTGTGGGTCTATGAAGTGAAAGTTGCCACTTAAAGTTAAAAATGAGACAAGCATGTTCAGTTCTATTGTAATCTTTTGCAGTTTTTAGTAGATGAGCCCCAATCTGTTCATTAATTTTGAGCTACTTGGATTATTTTAGAAGATGCTGCAGACCAGCAAAGGAAAACATAGAGGCTAGAAAATTGCTGTTTAATATTGCAGAATTTACTGCTTCCATTCCGACCATGAGCCTAAATTTACACAATGAAATTTGATTATCTCTAATAACAATATTAGATCCTGCACTGGATGGATGAGAATTGAGGTGGTTTTGTTGATTGCAAGGGTTTAATGTTGCATTTCAGAATCTGATGTGGTTTGGCCTCCCTTCCATTAACTGGAAAACCCCTGAGGTTTTACAATTATTTCTTAAAGATAATACATTTAAGATTGCATTGGTAGGCTGAAGAAAAGTCATAAAGGCAAGAAGGGAAGCCCTTAATAACTCTTGAGATTCAGACATGTTCAGCAGTTAGATTGGCTCTGACTTCACCAAGGGTCGACAATGTGTCATTTCCACGAAGCCAAATTGCCCTCTGCCTATATGATATTAATGTGCAAATCAATATTTCAGGGATTAAATTTCCCTTCTTCATTTTTTATGGTTTCTACCTCAATAAGTCTCAAGTCTATTAGAAGAGGCCGGATGATTTAAAATCTTTCACTGCAGAATGGCTTGTCGTAGTCTTGTTTCACAGACCATTTTAGGATTTTCGTTATAGACACTAAAGGCATCCTAAAGAAGTTGTGAGGCAGTGTAGAGCCAGGCTCAATAGTGTAAAGCCCTTGTTCGATTAAGAGCTAAAAGGTATTGAAAATATAATATATATGTTTGTGTAATACATATATATTCTGCTGCTTTAAAAATATTATGTTAATCACCTATTGATTTATTTCAAAATCAATTGAAGCTCCTTTCTTATTAGTGATTTGTTCAGCATTCTTGAGGACTGTGTTAATTTTCTTATAGAGTATGCATGAATTAGCTTGGTGTGAAAGTATTGGTGGGGGATTTTCATTTGGCAACATATTCCTAAGGAGTATTTTTAGAAACCATTGTTTGTGAGAGTAATAATCAAGTGGTGTCATTTGCATACATTGTTGTCATAGCCATCATTGCATTTTGTGGCTGAGTGACTTGGCTGATATCTGTTAAATGAGGCCTTCTTCAATTCTCTTTTTTACATTTAGTTTCTAGCACTTAGTAGGGACAATGCTTCTTTTTACGCTCTAGGAGAAACACAATTATAAAAGAAAGTATGTGATTTGATTGGAAATAATACAAAGCAGAAATAAGGGGGGGCTCAAAATAAAAGATTGTGACTTTATCACATAATCTTGGGAAGGCCTACCGTCTATCATTTGGTCGTGTTTTATAGTCTTAAACCATCTGGACCAAGTTCCGCACAGCTGCAAGAATTTCATATGTGATAGAACATTTTTTCCATTCAGTGTGAAATGTTCCTTCCTAAAAAACGTACACCAGACTCGCTTAATTTAGTCTGTTAAAAGAAATGCACATGAAAAAGGACAAAAGGCTCTTTAATCTCTGCAAGCTGTTTGTTTTTCTTCAAGATTCCTGTCTGTTTGGGTTTGAAAAGTCATGTTTATTGAGGAGATGATTCTGAGGTGTGACATTAAAATAATATATGATTTTTGGACTGGTGGCCATGCTCCTGCTTAATTTGCAGAACTACTTTTTATGCCTGTCAAAACACAGAGTTAATCTATCCTTATTTACAATTAATCTCAATAAAATTAATCTTAACTATGCTTTATTCAGTGGCTTAAAATATCTAATTATATTCAATTAACTGCTGTCATAGTAATTAACATTGCTTAATTGCCTCTGCATATATTTATGTAAAGCTCATTAGGTGCTGCTGACTCCTTTTCCCTTTTCTACTTGCTATTTTTCTGTTGTCAAACCATTTTCATTTCCCAAGGTTCGACAATGTCAATGAGAACAAATTCTTCACATTTTCTTGAAATGAATGTGATTGCCTTCCTTTGAGAAGATACTTGTTCTGAGCCTTTAAAGACTAATCCATCCCCCCTCTTCATTTTCCTTATCCCTGGTCCCTAGTACACTCACAAAATATTTTCTGTCATTGTTGCTAGAAATATGAGAAGCCAGGTTAAGCTTTGTGTTTATAAATGAAGAGCCTTTCTGTGTCTGCCTACAGGCTGTACCCACAGGCAGAGGGTTGTCTTTTTTTCCCCCCATGTAAGACCATTCTAAGGGTTAAAGACTTGGCCAAGGTTCAAACTGAGAAGCGCCCAGGGAAAGTGCATGTGAATATGTACAAGTTTCATGTAATTAGTGCTTAATTATATTAACATATGCAAATTGTCAACTTAGGAGCTTGTTGAGCTGGCAAAGATCAGCTAGGCACAATTGCTGTATTGTTCTGAAACAATAATGGATTTCAAGTTGGATTGTGGAAACACATAACTAGCTATCTAATTTAACTCATACCATGGTGAAATTTCATTAGTCTCCATGGAGACTGGTTTAATTGTGCTGACTAATGTTCTGGGCTGCAGAATGTCCTAAAAAGAAAGCGTTGTTTGCCTAATCCACCTTACAATGACACTTGTTTGTACATGTTTCCCTTGTGTGGTAATTTGCATATGCAAATAAATAGTTTCTCTGCCCCATTTGTCATGGCTGTTCATTACCCATGAAGAGGACATTGTTACTAGGCTGTTACTGAGTCTCCCAAGACGGGATAGTGTCAACCAGTCCAGCTACATTCTTTCATAATTTGTTTCTGATTAATAGACCAGAGTGAGTCTCATTCTCTTTGGGCATCTATAAAGGGAAGGTCAGTTCTGTCACAGAAAAGAGTTTCTGCAGCAACTGAAGGACTTTTATTCTTTTTCATCTTCTTCTTCTCCCCTTTCCACCTATTGGTTAACATAATCATATTTAAAATAATGGATTCTTGTTCTAAGAATGCCTCTACTAATAATCTCTAGTTTCCTAAAGCAAAAAGATAGGAAAAGAAAGGATATTCTGTTATTGGAATATTAATCCTGTTTTTGACAGAAAGGTAAACTGATATAATTGCTTTTCAGTTGAAGGAATGGGGGTTTATACAAGTGTGAAAGCATCGGAAAAGGATTAGCATTTTTTTGCATAATGAAAAGCTCTGTTGAATAGGGTCCTGAATGGCTGACCGAATGACTAAGATGAAAGGAAGATGAAAATGCAGGCGTCTCTTTCTTATGTCTCTGCTGTGCTCTCTCTAAAGTTATGTTTGTCCAAGACTTGAGAAAACAAGCAGTGGCTCAGATTTCAGCAACTTTATGAGATGCCCTGAGTTTCCATCATCATTGGGAAGTAATATGTATGACAATAGTGCAGCTAGAGAATGATCAACAGACATTTGTATGTAGAAGAGTTTTCAGAAACATGCCAGGCTACCCAAATATTGACTATTGAGTATCAAGAATTCCCAGCGCTTTGCTGGCAAAAAACAGTTATTTTAGAAGAGGCCAGTAGTATGGCATGAATATTTAATTCATTTGACAGTGGAACATATAGTGTGCTTTAT